TACATTAATAACGACCTCATCTCTCACATGCGAAAGGTATCCTGGGGCATTGTGTCATCAGAATTAATCAAGATGATAAAGAATGCACAGATTACAAAGAGAGAGGAGGGTTCAGCACTAATAATTATCCTTAAAGATCATAATTTAGGTAAAATCCAATTTCCTGGCTTTGGCAGGTGGCAAGAAAAAATGTAAATGAACCGTGGGGTGCTTAGAAATTCAGGAGAATTTCACAGAGAAAATGAACCTTTCTATCCATTCTTGAACAATATCTGGGAATGGTCATGTAGCATCTGGAAATGGTTAGGAATGGTCAGGTAACGCACTAAAATATTCTTACTTAACTGGATTGGCTAGCAAAGCTCATGCCATTTAAACAATTTAAAGAACAAGTGAACTTAAAGAAGGCATCCCACAAATAATACTATTTGCTCATTTTGTAGGGAAGTATCTAATGGTGTGGTCAACAGGCGGATGGAAGGGTAACAAACGAAATGGGACTTACAGGCATAATGAATAAGCAGTGACGCTTATTTGTCAGAAGGCATGTCTCAGATTGTTTATTTGTTTAAGCTATACAGAGCAATCAATGTATGTAAGACTGTGTGACAGAGTTTTGATGGGCGTTTTTCACCAGAATTATACACATAATTTAAACCATTTTCCTTTCCAAAAATTTATTAAGGTGTTTTAGAACTGCTCTTTGTCATGTAAGATACCAGGATGATGTAGGAACATGATTAAAATAATTTATTAAAAAAACAACAAAAAAATCAAAGAGCAAAGGAGATTCTACGGTTCACATTGGATTCAAGAGGAATCTAAAGTGGACCTAGTGGATGGGGAATTCAGGGAGATGTCAACCCACAAAGTAACATTTCCTGTCTTTTTTGACTTATATAAGAGCAGTCAATTGAGCTAAATCAGTGTTTCTCAACCTGGGGGGTGGGACCCCTCGGGAGTCACTAGGGGATTTCAGATGGGTCACCAAAGACTATCAGATACATATATTTCTGATGGTCTTAGGAACCCCTTTGGCAGAGAAGGCTTTTAACTTTTATAGGATCTGCTCATAGACCAAGGGGAAAGACTGGCATGCTAAGGCTGCCACTCTATATCAAAAAAGCTTTTTGAGGTATTTCAAACAAACAAACAAAAATGCATGCTTTGACATAGGTTTTTGCTGCTTTCCTAATGACTAAAGACCTGGTGTACAGATTCATTTTATGCAAGACCTTCTGTTTTCCTCAGGACTAAATCAGGGATAAAAATTCTCAAGGAATTGCTCTCATGAAAAATACGAAGAAGACGAGAAGGGAAGGAAGTGAAGGAGGAGGGAGTAGTTATTCTGCGCTCACTCACTGCAGACTTCTCCAAGGAAACACATATTTCATTAAAACTGAACAACACAAAAATCAGCGAAGAGTAATAGAGCCTGAGAGGATTTTAAAAATGTATCTCATACAAATTATGATTAAAGACTCTGTGTTTATTAACATCATAGCTTAGCTGGGTTTTATTCTGATGAACTTGAGTTTACTCGGTCCTCATGTAATTCCATCAATGTGAGAAAAATATGTTATGGGAACCAACAGTGAAATAAAGCTACTTGCAGGAAGTGAAATGCAATCGTGTAATAATAATTAATTTTAACATTTTTTCTGCATTCCACAGCTATTGGGGATTTTAATTATACTGGCTGGGAATAGGGTAATATGTTTAGAAAGTAATTTGGGGAAAATATTTAATCAAAATAAACAAAACAAAGTAACTGGGTTGCTGTGAGTTTTCCAGGCTGTATGGCCATGTTCCAGAAGCATTCTCTCCTGATGATTCATCCACATCTATGGCAGGCATCCTCAGAGGACCTCACAACCTCTGAGGATGCTTGCCATAAATGTGGGCAAAACTTCAGGAGAGAATGCTTCTGGAACATGACCATACAGCCCAAAAACTCACAGCAACGCAGCGATTCCGGCCATGAAAGCCTTTTGACAAAAAACAAAGTAAATTTCTAGTTCAGACACAAGGCATCCACATGTTCTTGTGTCCAAATGCTCACTACTCCTCACTTAAAGCTTGGAAATAAATTTTTTAAAATGAATGTGTTAGCCCTATTTTGTTAGAAAAATCATAAAGGCACAAGAAGGTGATGCAGACTTTATGAAAATGGACAAATATGAGACCAAAATGGCATGGAAAGTGGCTACACGCTCACCTCAGCCAAACTGATTATGTGGTATATAGAAGATTTTTATCTCCAAATACATACAATTACATACAATTAAATCAATGAACCAGTTAATAAATCAGAACAATACATATTAATGAGTTTAAAATGACGCACAAAATGAGTTTCCGAGGGGGAGGAGACAATATCCAATGGGTTTAATAGATGTGGAGCGGTGAATTCACTGATATATCCCAAAGTCTATAGAACATACAGATTCTCCTCCCCACATTTTTCCTCAGTAGAGGAATGTATGGGTGAAGGGATAATGCCTCTCCAATGTCAGCAATTACTTATAAGGCTCCATGGTCAGAAATTGTAAGCACTTGTGTCAGGGTGGGGGACTCAGGATCATCCTCAGCGAAGTCTACACAGCCAGCCTCTGAGCCAACTCAGTGGTGAGAGCGTGTCCGCACAGCAAGGTACCAAGCCACCCTACCAACGGAAAGAGTCTGCATGGCTGGATGGCCACCCTTAACGACACCAATGAAATGGTTGCTGGTCATCACTTGTCACAATTGGTGACACTGGTAGAAGTACCAGAGTGACTTGGGAGGAGAGAAGGAGGGATTGCTCTGGTTAGCATCAAGCATTTGTAATGAGTGATGGCCATCAGCAATTTTGAACCCTGTGATCACAGCTACAATGAGGACAAGATGGTGACCCTGTACCTGGACCACCTGGGCCTGGGGAAAGTGGGATGACAGTGTAAACAGTGGTGACTAGTTCCCATTTGGAACCAGCCCAACTATTTACTATTTACATAGCATGAGTGCACTCCAAAGCATCAGGGAAGCTTCAGGACATCCCTTCACTTTGGGTAACATGGGACAAGCCCACATTAAGTGTCTTTGCCAAATGTGTAGGGTGAATTAGCCTCGTACATCATGTGGACATCATGAAGTCCATTCATTTTCACCCTGCCTCATTTGGTCTATTCAAATGGCCTGCTAGAGAGTTTGCGTCAATTTATCAAAAGCTGCTGGTGACACATTCAACTCCATTCTTGAAATGCCTCATTTTAGTCCTTTCCATCAGTTAAATACAGGAACACCATTTCCTTCAGTGGATGGAGGCTGCCAATATAGTTTCCTCCCTTTGGCCTCCCAATGCCACCAGTAGAAACCTCTCACTAATAGGAGGCCTTAATTTATCCTAATCTATCCTAACCTAACCTAATCCTCTTGAGTGAGCTAGCTCTTGAGGGTTAGAATTATATTTGTAAATTTACCTTTAAAAGGAAAAAAATGTATAGTTGACACTTTGCTGATTAGAACAGAAGGAAGGGGCTTTTTCAGATTAGTTATCATTGAGCAGGTAATAGAGATCACTTTCAGGGCAGGCACGTTATCAGAATAAATGAATCCAAGGCCAGTGGGGGGAGTAGCAAATACATTTAATGACATCCAGGCATTATTTTGGAGTTAGGTCTTAGTAAATGGCATGATGGTAAAAAGCTAGAGAGTAAATTATGCTATTTCCATTTAAAAATGAAATGTAACCAAATGAAACACACAAGCATATCAAGAATGAAGCACAATTTGTAGATTTTTAAGGATTGTCCCACACAGCTAAGGCAAGGGTAGAAAAGATACAACATTCATGTACAGTAGAGTCTCATTTATCCAACATAAACGGGCTGGCAGAGCGTTGGATAAGCGAAAATGTTGGATAATAAGGAGGGATTAAGGAAAAACCTATGGAACATCCAATTTCGTTATGATTTTACAAATTAAGCACCAAAAATCATGTTTTACAACAAATCGACAGAAAAAGCAGTTCAATACATGGTAACGTTATTTAGTAATTACTGTATTTACGAATTTAGCACCAAAACATTGCAATGTTTTGTGGATCCGGGTTGGAAGGCAGACTGCATTGGATAATACAGAACATTGGATGAGTGAAGGTTGGATAAGCGAGACTCAACTGTATTACAATTCAGTAACTTTTCCTACCCTTCAAGTTTGTTTTTGTTTTTTTTAAAGGTAATTAGGAACTACTTTTATCCTAGTTTTTAATTCTATTAGAATTCGTGTTAGACCATTTTTTCCCCTTCTTTAATTAAGGAATAAGAAACCCTGCTGGGCTTTTGAATAAACATAATAAGATTGCCTTGTTAAATGCTTATAGTAATCTTGAACAACTTGTGATGTATCATTACAGCCTATCAGTCAACTACTATAGCCTGGCAGTTGCTTTGTTTTAGTCCTTTTTAATGAGCTGGTGTTCAAAAAAGAACAGACGTATAAGCCTTACTTAAGCCCACCAAGATTTTCTGCACCAGGCATATTATGGAAGCTCCACAAGTGCAAAATGGCAATTTTGAAGAACTGTCCTGCTATTGCCTCACATTCAGTGAATGCACACTTGCTGAAGTGGGGTCAACAACAGCACCAGTTTAGTACTAGCTAGACTGCATGATTTCTCAAAGGATAGGCACATAGGTATATTCATAGGATTCTTATAAATCGGAAGTGAATAAATCGGAGTTGTTGAACTCTGCCTTCCATCAATCCCTGTCAGCACGGTTGATAGTCAGAAATGATGGGAGCTGAAGTCCAACAGGCACAGTTTCCCCACTTTTGATACAGACAGTGATTTCAGGCAAGTCAGGCTCAGGGTTTTCTTCCACAATCTCAATCCCACTGTGGACACAAGTACTATCAATTCTTTTCCTATACTTAAACCTCAAAAAATATTAAAGCATGGAAATGGAAATGGAATTCAATCTTAGCATCATTAGAGTAAATGTTGTGTCATTATTTACCACTTCTGTTTCCCTCCAGATAAGTTCCATTTCGGGTTGGGCTTGTTGTCTGATGCCTCAGACTAGTTGATGGTCCTCCAGAAGCTATTTGACCAGAACGATGACTACAGGAAGAAGACGATCCTCCACCATGGCGTCCATCTCCAGAACTCTGCCTCATGGAGTACACAGACCCCATACAATTGAAGGCAGAATCAGAGGGATCTACACTGTAGTGTTTTGTTGTCACTGGATCAATCAGGTAATCTTCAGGTATAGCTGTTTCTGCCCAGAAGGAAAGAAGTTCAGGGGTTAATAAATGAAATAAATGAAAACTCCCAATTTTCAACTAGAGTTAAAATGTTTTTTTAAAAAAATCTTTTCTGTTTTCACTCACTCTTAAAGCTATCAGACAGATAGCTTAAATCCATTAGCAAATTGAAGTGTGAACAAAATTGAAAGAACCGTAGTATGTGTTTAATTTATCAATGAGGATTTATAATAGAAAATGGATTTGAATTAATTTCAGAGACAGCAGCTTTCTAGTTCTAAAATTAATTAATAATACACAAACTATTTTTTTTAGGTTAATATACTTAACTTAAAATGGTGGTTGACTGTGGTGCTTGGTATATTTCTCAACAGTTAAAGAAAGTGTGTTATTAAAGAAGTATCTAGAGTAGTGGTTCCCAACCTTTTTTGGCCAGGGACCACTTTGGCCATGGCCCACTTTGACCAGGAATCACTCTCCAACATTAGTCCCAAAAGGGTTACAAATCAGTTTTTGGTCAACTTTAGATTCTGTTTGATTATCTGAGGTGCTGATTCAGAAAACTGCATTGGATAGACCACATCAGCTCTAGTTTCTGATACAGAACATATGCCATCCAAAAGTCACCATCTGCTCACCCACAGAAAACCATATTTAATAATCTAGAGCCACAGACGTTATTTTAGGACTCGTGGCCCACCAGGTTGGGATCCACTTCTCTAGATTGAAATGGCTCCTGAGAAGCTGAGGTAGAAATGTTATTTACCTAATGACATGGTGTGAATCATCAAGGCATACCTCAGAGAGGTGTCAATCCAAATCCAGGAGGGTAGCCGGAGAACGACAACCCATGTCTAATTTTAATCACACTTTTGATTGAATTGGTGCATATATAACAAGGCTTAGGCTCAAGCCATACAAGTAGGACTGCAAGGCTGAACAAGAAATACCTTCCCCATAATTTCCACTTTCATTTTTTACATCTTTATTACATTTTATGGGGACAACATTGCACTATATAAGCTGTCTCAGTTAAATGTCTAAGTAATACCCCCTGGGGCAATCTCTCTTTTTCTCTTCCTTCCGCTCTCTTTGTACCTCTCCTTCTTCAACTCATTTTTCACCGGCACTACTCACATTATTTCATCCTGAAACCACCCCATGACTCTATCCATGTACCTTTTAAAGTGCTATAATGTTTTTTCTTATAATGGGATGACCAGATGTGACCCATCTCTTTGCAGCACCATGATCTCATGGCCACCCAGCCTTGCTCCCTGTTTTAGTTATGCTGTTGGTTCATCTAATTGCAAGACCTGTTTCCTAGGCACCATCCAATCAGTTCTAAAGCCTTAGTTGAAAGGCTACCTAAATATTTAATATCTGTTATTATTTAGTACATAATGCTTAGGTGACTTTAATGTCTGTTTCAGGTCTCAGCTCACTCTAGGGCAGACAACTCATTAAAATTGTTATCAGGAAATAATTTAGAAAAAAAACCCTGACTGAAACAAAAGTAACCTTACCATTTTTCTAAACCAACAAATCTTAGTTCTAAATTATCTTTGTTATTATAAAAAAACAGTACAACAAAGAAAGGGCTTCACAAATTACAGATACATTATAGATCCCATGAAGAGTTACTTTTCCTAACCTTTGTCTCAGTTCCCATATGGCCAAGGGAGTGGCCTCCAAATATAGGCCTGTGACTCCACCCCCTCTTTCCCCTTCTTCTGTATTATTTCAAACATCTTTTGAGTAAGCCAATGGTGCTTGTATGAAGTGTTTTGCGAACTATGTTGGCCAATAATGGTATCACTCTTGTGTGGATTTTGTTTTAATATGACTAATGCTTTAAGAAAAATGCTGGGGATATAAATATTCCAGCTTTATCTGACCTGGTAGCTCAACAGATGCATACAGATCTCAGTTTTGTGGACTTTTGCAGCTGACAGATGGTACTTTTGTCAGCGCCGATTGTGTTTAAGTGCAGGCCAAGGTCTTTAGGCACTGCACCCAGTATACCAATCACCACTGGGACCACCTTGACTGGCTTGTCTTTGCAGTTTGATCTTTAAATCCTCATATTGTGTCAGCTTTTCCAGTTGTTTCTCTTCAATCCTGCTGTCGCCTGGGATTGCAACATCAACAATCCATACTTGGTTTTGTGAGGTCAGGAGTATTGTGCTCCAAAACTCTCAGTCTGAATTCAGAAGTCCCAGAGTAGCTTGACATGTTCATTTTATGTAACTTTTTCAGGCTTGTGATCCCACCAGTTCTTTGTTGCAGGCAGATGGTATTTGTGGCACAAGTTCCAATGAATCATCTGAGCAACAGTGTTGTTGTTGTTGTTGTTGTTATCTTCATATCCTTAGGAATGCCATGTGTTCTATCAGCACAAGGTGAATGCAATTTTGCTTTGTTCAGTGTGGATAAGGCCTTGGCAACAGAGTCTCTCATGCATGGAGATCCTGCATTTCTATCTGCAGTGCAGGTAGCCATAGCCTAAGCAAATACTAAAACCCTCCTATGGATCTGAATGGTGGAAATGGAATCTACTGCATGACTGCATACAATACAGAAAGTAAACATTCTGAATATATGCTGAAAGACAAAAAACTAAACCACTACATGGTTGGATTTTTTTTAATTGCTTAGTCTGGTCTAAATTCTGCTAGAGTCCCTGCATAGCTCCGTGGAAATGCCAGACAGCTGTCATGAATTCAAAGTAGTAAATAAATGTCAGTTTTTACTTTGTGCAAAGTAGATGTTTACAAATAGTATAATATGCTAATGTATTGTCCCTTTCACTGAATCACTGTCAAAGAGTGTCTGAATGAGGGGCACAGAGGCGACAGTAATGCAGCCCCACTTTTTATTCCAGCACAGCTATCAAAAATATATATGAAAAATCCATGTATACCGTCATCACATTCCAGTTCATTTCAAATGCTTCAGACAACATAATGACCTCCTCTCCACAAACCTTTTTAGATCAGGCAAATAGTTCTCTATTAAATTTTGCTGTGGTTGAGTGGATTGCATGGATCTCCCATTCCCCCTTTCCATCTGACCTTAGTATTTTATTTATTGTTTAAGGGATAATGTTCATGGCAGAGGAATATATGAGGCAATAAATGGCTTGTGCAGGTAATTAAATGCAGAAGCAAAGCCGGGACTACTGATAACCATAAAACCCATTTATTCTGACTGTATGCCAAAGCTGTGCACTGCAGTTATCATAGGAGGAAAGGCAAGGCTGAGTTCTGCCAAAGGATTAAATAAGGAGAAAAATAACACAGGACACTTCTAGCGTTTGAGGGACTGAACCCATGTTGCTTTTTCTCTTACAGCTTTTCAGAAGATCGCTTTAAAGTCCAGCAAGAAACACACATGAATATTAAGTCTAGCCATTATATGGATTTTCCTAAAGTCCTTGGTGGGTTTTAAAAATTAATAGCTTTTTATGATAGAACAAAATTGTAAATGTCATTAAGATACTTCATTCTCCCAACGCTTTTTTCACGCAGCTTGTACCACAAGGTGTTAATATTTGGCAGGAAGAATAATCTATAAAATCATTGAGCAACAAAAAGATATCACATTTTCTCACCACAAATAAGAGTTGCTTTCATTAGTTTATTTGTTTGTTTTGATCAACCAAAGGAGACACCAAAAGCAAAATAATGCTAGAAACTGTAGAGAGTTAAATAGGACTGTTAATGATAGAACTGGGAAATATTACTTATTTTTTGTACATCTTCCAGAATGCCATGGCCTGCACGGCCATAAACAGTGTGGGATTTTGGGGTTTGTCATTCAAAAAAACCCCTCTGCAATCCATATATAATATCAACCAACAGAGCAGAGTAATCTGATCTGCCCCAGATCCCACAAAAGCAAAGTCATGCAATGTAAAGGGAACTCAAATGGTGGTTTCCCCGATCTAACGAGTGCCTCATAACTCAAGTATGGAAGAGCATGGAGAGGGAGAAAGAATACCCTCCAAAACTTACATTTCATCTTAATGAAGGGAAAGAGAGCTAAAAGGTATATGTGTAGCAAGTCTTACAAAATACATTTAAGAATACTAATCAGAACCCATGAAAAGATATTCCACCCCTTTGTATGTTGAACAAGTTGTAAGTTGTTTGTGTTTCAACCCAAATTGGTACTACAAGAAAATGTGATCTTGGTAGATTCCCCAGTCTAAATTCTTACCCCTGGCCTGTAAATGCAATTCTTTAGTGAGGAAACATACAGGTAAGACACATAGACCCTTGTACAACTAAAAGCAACTGTGGAGAACAGCACAGAGTAACATTAGTCTAATCAAAATTGGTTTATTTTATAGGTATTTTATAGTTTAAAAGACTTGGTATCAGATTGCCTTCGCTGCACACTATTTGGGCACCCATAAACTTGCATGATAAAAAATGAATGTATGTACAGCTGTATACTTCAAGAACTGTTAAAATCTACCTGATTCCATTTGTCCATTTTCATATTCTTCAGGGTTTTCAGAAGTGCTGTATTGTGGGAAAGGCTGATTGCTGAAAATATTGTCACACAGTAAGCTGCGGCAAAGCTTTTTGAGGAACCGCAAAACATAACCAATGCTGTTCACCACCGGTAGGCTCAGTAGATGTTGTTTCCCATCAAAAGAAGCAGAAACTGGATGAAAAAAGGACAGGAATCAGGAACATTGCACCATTCTAAAGCAAACGTATTGCTTATTGGAGTACCATCCCTTTGGTATCATAATGCAACTTTTGAAAATATGCGATCTCTTGGTCTCTGGACTATCTACTGTATAAATACATGAAGGATGATAGTAGCAGAGATGCTTCATTTTGTTTCATGCTAAACCAGAAAGGAGCAAAATATGACACATTGAGACACCTATATTCATTGTCAGTCTCCTATCTAAGTGCTTATTTTTTCATGTCAGGAGCAACTTGAGAAACTGCAAGTCGCATCTGATGTGAGAGAATTCACTGTCTGCAATGATGTTATCCAGGGGATGTTTTACCATCCTGTGGGAGAGTTCTCTCATGTCCCCTTATGAGAAACTGGAGCTGACAGATGGGAGCTCACCCCGCTCCATGGATTCGAACCGGCATGAGGGTTTAACCCATTGTGCCACCAGGGGCTCTATCCAAGTGCTAACAAGTGCTTATGCTGCTTAGCTTCCAGTATCAGATGGGATCTGGTGCTTTTAGGGTATTGTGAAGAGAAACACAATGGATTGGGGAAAAACAAAAATCTTACAGAGAAGAATAAGATCTACATTCTATGTATAAAAACCAAATGTACTGAGAACTACATGTTTTCATTAATCTTTCTTCACCACTGGCTGCGGGACAGGATCCTCCACGGTACATGAAGGTAACACTAAATGGTAACCAACTCACCATGCAGTGGAGCTATAGCCTATTGCCTGTATTGCTGTATTTATTTATTTGTTTGTTTATTTATTTTAGACATTTATATCCAGCCTTCTCACACACCCCACGGGGGGGGGGGGGGACTCAGGGTAGCTCACAACTAGCAACCATTAGGTGCCAAACAAACAGTAGCAATAAAATCACAATTAAAACATTAGTTAAAAACAACAAATTATAAACATCCATTTAAAAGTTAAACAAATCCAAATCCAGAGTCATAATCCAAGGTCTGCCCATTTTGAGTCACATAAATCATTTGCATTATTATTGCTGCATCTGCTGCTTGAATGCTTGGTCCAACAACCATGACTTAAGCTTTTTATTAAAGGATAGGAGAGAGGGGGCCGACCTAATGTCATTAGGGAGTGTGTTCCACAGACTGGGGGCCACCGCCAAGAAGGCCCTGTCTCTCGTACCCGCCAATCACACTTGCGAGGGTGGCGGGATCGAGAGTAAGGCCTCCCCAAGGTGGATCATAGGGCTTTTCTCAGACAAAGTCAGCACTTTGAATTGTGCTTGATAACAGACTGGCAGCCAATGGAGCTGACATAATAGGGAGGTGGTGTGCTCCCTATCCACTGCCCCGGTGAACAATCTGGCTGTCTCCCATTGAACTAATTGAAGCTCCTGAACAGTCTTCAAAGGCAACCCCATGTAGAGTGCATTGCAGTAATCTATTTGGGATATAACAAAAGCGTGGACCACCATGGCCTATAGAAGTCAATTGTGTCTATTTAGATTGGTTGGAAGTTGTTGTCCAACAAATATCTCTTAGGACAGGGTTAGTAGTGGTCATCTAGGGGCTTTATACTACTGGCAAAGAAAACTAGGCATCTCAATAATGTGCTTATTGGCGTTTCAGCTAAAATCTAATGAGAGAACCCAAGCCAAACGAATCTAATGCATGAACCCACAAGGCTATCAACTTATTTAAATTAATAGGAATTCAGTCATGCCCATACAAGAAGAAAAGAATGAACCTTATTGGGCACAACTGCTTGGCATGCTTTCAGGAATCAACTCAAGTAATTTCTTGAACAAGTGCAGCCTTTTGTTTCTTTGAATAGGGGTGCAAACTGGGAACAGAGTGCCTCAAGGGGGGAATTAATGTGGAAATAGGATATAATTAAATGTTGCACAGCAGGAAAAAGCTTGGGGTTGCACAGCATGGCGAGTCCCAGTGAAGCAGCAGAAATAGTATTGTTACTGCAGCTGGAAGAGGTTTCTTCAGAACCATCCTTAGTAGGATATACAAATCATTAAAAGCATTTGTTCTTTAGATGTCCAAGTAATGTTGAACTACATTTTGTGGGTCGTTTTTTTAAAATCTGTAAAGACATAGGTGGCCATAGCTCTATTTCATATATTACAGGATAGATATGCGAGGCAGTGCAAGCTGGTCCCACCTTTGATCTTTTTGTACTTCCGTCGTTCTCCTCAGGTAGATAATTGCTTTCTAAAGGGGAGAAGCTTCTCTGCAGACAGAGGCTCTAAAGCTGATCCAGAATGCCGAAAAATCAGCTTTCTTGTTTATGTGAAGAACCCCCAATAAAAAGATGAGGGTCTCCTCTCCAAAAAGTTGCCAAAAAGTGATGGAAATTCATAAGAAAGAACTGGGCTGGCAACCTCCTCCTTTTCACTTTTCTCTAGCATAAGGAAATTAAAAATAGCATCCTAGCCTTGTACAGAATATTTTGATTCTTTAACTGAAATGTTATCCCAAGCTAAAATATTTTAGCAGGCATCTCGTTCCATTCACTGCAAAGCTGTGAGAACTTCAAAATGGGAAAAAGTAACATGGTGCCTTAAAGATTAGCAGATTTATTATGGTGAAACCTTTTATGGATCAGAGTTTACTTTATCAGGTACAGAACATGTTAACAGCTGGCAGGTGGGGAGATACCAGGATGCAGAGAGAGAAATACTAACAATGAGATCAAATAGAAATGCATCGGACGGAAAAATACAACCCTTGACAATTAGGTTTATGTTTAAGCATATGCACAGGAAGAGATATTCTTATTTGGAACTGCCTTAACTGGTGTTACTTCATTTAATTATCTACTTGGTGTGAATCGTAACTTCACTTTCTTGTCAAAATAAATAAATGAGGGGCTAGACAGGGGCAAGAGAGTAGCTTGAGAAATGTCTTTGCTTTCAGATGAAACTCCAAGTTTCACAACTGCTCTGGAGAAAGCTGAACTTTGAGGCACTTTACCACTAACCTATTATAAGGTTACATTTTAAAGAATTTGTTAAAATAGAACCTTTCACAAAAAAATACAAAATTAATTTGTTAATTCATTCACCGAATTATTTTCTTTTTTAAAAAAAATACAGTTACGCAAAACAGTTATGAAAACTATTTCAATTCATGCCCTTCAATGAATTAAAATAGTGAGAAATGTTAATTGCTGCCCAAAGTTAATGTCATTCAGGGTTAATGATGAAAATAAATAATTTTTAAATTGACTTCCATTAAAAAAAATCAATTAGGGGTGACAAATAATTTTAATTAATTATTTCCAAGCTCTGAAACACAGTGATGCTGTCCTAACTGATGGGTTGATGACATTAATTTCCCATTTGCCACTCCTTTTCTGTGTCTGTTTGATTTGAATGCGACGATACCATGAATGTTAAGAGTTAGGAATAGAATTTGATACAAGACATAATTAAATATGAATCTGACCACATCATATTCCAAAAACAAAGGATAAAGTGCAAGGCAAACTCTTCCATGAAGGCTAATATATTAGACTGCAAGTTAGTGCGTGGTATTTCCTGAGTTTGATCTCCAATCGTATCTCCAAAGAAGTTAAACATAATTCAATGCATTTTCTCTATTTTAAGATGGCAAAACTTGAAACTTAGTATACAGGCCTAAAAAGTATTTCAAGTGTTTGAAAACCAGCTCATGCCCCACAGTTGTTTTCAAAAGAGGCAGGGAAAAATCAAAAGTGATTATAATCCAACATCTGAAGCAAAACCCTCAGTTTATTATTGATTTCCGCCTTTTTATGGAAAGAAATAGAATAAAGTACCACCTCATACTGTAACATTTCATGGGCAGAAATACAGGTGTTCAAGCAACATTATAATGTGTTTAATATAGCAAAAATTATGAATGTGGGAGAACACACACACACCCTTATTGGGAAGGGCAAGATTCTGCCCCTCCTCTCCTTTCCCAACTACTAAGTTAACTGAGCGCAAAGTGCTTTGCAAATTGAGCTCAGTACGTGATAACTATGCAGCCCCCTCTGGTGCAGTGGGTTAAATCGCTGAGCTGCTGAACTTGTTGACAGAAAGGTTGCAAGTTCAAATCTGGGGAGCGGCATCAGCTCCTGTTGTCAGCCCCAGCTTCTGACAACCTAGCAGTTCAAAAAATGCAAATGTGAGTAGATCAATAGGTACCGCTCTTACGGGAAGGTTACGGTGCTCCATGCAGTCATGCCCACCACATGACATTGGAGATGTCTACGGACAATGCCGGCTTTTTGGCATTGTCTGTAGACTTCATCCAGAGTCTGACATGACTGGATTTAATGTCAGGGGAAAACCTTTACTTTTACCTATGTGGTAACTAAAGTAATCTGAAAATAAAGGGGGAAAGTAGAACAGGAGAGAGAAACTGGTATGTGAAAACAGTTGGAAGGCATGAAATTTCAAGTCCCATGCCCCCCCCCCACATTCTAAACAGAGGTAATTTCATTGCAAAAGACTGTCTGACTCTTTTACCTGACACTATTTCACCTCCATAGCCCTGCTTGACAAGTGAGAAGACTGACTTTTGCTGGTGTGCACAATCAATGCAGGCCTGGACTGCCTGTTGCAGCACCATGGAAGGCCGTTCAGGTCCAAAGTGGTCTGGGAGTTGCTGCACTTTCTTCCGCTCGAGGTAGGGCCCCACATTGGCTTGCTTGTTGACGTAAATGCACACTACAGACAGGAAAAAATATTCTATTATCAAAAGAGGCCCACCAAAAGTCTTGACAAAATTAAATCACTTTTTTTATGTGGCTGCTTCAGTATGGGGTCGGGGGGGGGGGGGTGAAGCACTGTCAGAAAACTGTCAGGATAAAAGCAAATGATGAGTATCAGAAATATGTTCCTTTTTCCCATGCAATATGCTACTGGCTTCCACCCTACACACTGCTGACACATGGCTCCCAAAACATAACCTGTGAAGGAATACAGTGCTTGATAGAAAAAGGCACTAATTAAGCTAAGCAATATGTATTTCCAAAGAAACAACAGCCAGTGTGAAATTCTGTGATGATGGATTTCAAGGGGTAGTCCAAAATGTATCTTTGGTTTCAAAATCCCAGCAGTTTGCTCCAGTTTTCATGCAACTTAATATGGACTGGAGGGGAGAATCACAAGGCCGCATTCATGGGTGTTCAATTATAAAAAAGATAATTCTAGGAGTCCACATTTCTAAGAGTGTATTAAAATGAAGCTCTCAAGTAAAAGTCAAGATTGGACTCCTGTTGAGTAAGTGCCCTTTTGATCTTGTTGTTATTTGTTAGCTCATCTTCTATGCTCCTTTATTCTTCACAGGAGCCAGCTTAAGAGATGTTTTATCATCCTTGTGGGAGGCTACTCTCATGTCCCCACATGGGGAGCTGACAGAGGGAGCTCATCCACACTCTCCCCAGATTCAAACCTGCAACCTGTCAGTCTTCAGTCCTACCGACTTAAAGGTTTAACCCATTGCACAACCAGGGGCTCCTACAAGGATGATAAAACATCAAAACAACCTAGTGTCACCCGGGCAACATCCTTGCAAACGGCCAATTCTCTCACACCAGAAGGGACTTGCAGTTTCTCAAGCCACTCCTGACACACACGCACACACACAAAAGTTAAGAGATTTTCCTTACGTCTGCCTTACATTCCACATCCTCCATGCTTAAATTTTCAATAGAGCACATTGCCACATCGATCTAGCTTTTTACATGTTGATGGACAATTATGGAAATGCTTTATAGCACCATTGTTTAATATCAGAACTGATCTCCTTTTTGAAAAAAGAGGGGTAACAGAGATACTACATTTCTGGGGCTTGCTGTTGAGTGTGTTTGTTTGCTTATCACAGACATGGTCTAAATCAGTCTAAAATAAGACACATTATTATTGCTGGCTGCAAGCGTGCCAGAGTTGTCATCGCTCAGGACATATAGCGTTACCCTGTGACAGAAATCAGATAGGTGACAAAAGAAATTATAAGAGAGCGAAGGACGTAGATGATGGCTGTGTTCAGGATAATGTACCGTTCGCATCGCCATAATGAATATCTAGTGCCTGAAGTGTTAGCAGCCGCTCAGGCAGAACAATAAAAGGACTCATGGCAATCTATTCTGAGTAAATAGGACTATAATGGCAATAATACTTAGCATTACATAGCACTTCAAGCCATCAAAAGGCCATACAAACAAACAGGAGAAAACCATTACAAGCATGAACGAGGAACACAAACAGCATTACAAAGGTCTGGTGACAAAGGTAATATGAAACGGGACAGAACATGAAGTTTCCTAATTCAGTATGTGTTTTCTTGATGTGTGCAGAGGTGCTACTTTACCCTATATAGCATAGGTAACGTTTAAATGAAATTCAGACTGGAAAGGAGAAAGAAAAAAGAAATCTGGATAGATTTGCAGGAATCAAATGGATAAATTAAACTGAACAATAAGACACTGCATTGTAAAAGATAAAACTTGCTTTTGTAACATTACCATGGGAAGTTGTGAAGGATGGGAGCAAAACCCTCCAAGTAAATGCGTATTTCTTTACAAAAAAAAATCCCCATTTTGAGGGATTATCAGTTCCACTTACCTGTGAGGGCTTGTGGGGCTGCTGAATTGGGTATTGTAGCTGCATCCTGTGGGATTGAACTAATATCGGGTTCTGGTGTGCTTCTTGGTGGGGAGATTGCTAAAGGAGTCATTAGAACACGAGTTTTCAGCTGGAAGAGAGAACCAATTTAAGTAATGAAAACACATACAGAATCAGTTCTATTATACTACATCTCTGAGCTCTTTGAGCTCCCACACTTCAGCAAATTGCTATAGTATTACATCCTTTGTAGACCCATTAATGTGTCATATGAAAATAGAATATGCATTATGCATCAACATTTTATGCTGTAAGGTGCAAAGATTTGTGCAATTCATTCAATAGTTATTTACATCATGGTAAGGGCTCTCTGGTGGCACAGCTGAACTTGCTGACTGAAAGGTTGGCAGTTCAAATCCAGGGAGCGGGATGAGCTCCTGCTGTTAGCCCCAGCTTCTGCCAACCTAGCAGTTTGAAAGCATGCAAATGTGAGCAGATCAATAGGTACTGCTTCTGTGGAAAGGTAACAGCATGTAGTCATGCTGACCACATGCCCTTGGAGGTGTGTACGGACAACGCCGGCTCTTCGGCTTGGAAGTGGAGATGAGCACCACCACCCAGAGTCAGACATGACTAGACTTAATGTCAGGGGAAACCTTTACCTTTTGTAGGTGCTATCAGTTAGCCCTCGATATCCATAGAATCTGTATTCACAGGATTCAACTATCAATGACTTGAAAACATTCCAAAATAAAGCTTCCCAAAAGCAAACCTTGATTTTGCCATTTCATCTGACACCACTTTTCTATACCAGGGTATAGAATAGAACTTGCACATCTATGGAATCTGGTATCCATAGGAGGTCCTGGAACCAAACCCTCAGTAGATCCCAAGGGCCCACTATATAGCTTATTAAGTATATACATTGGAAGTTAACAAGACCCCAAACCCTATGAACATTGGGATTTAAGATTCCTTCTAAAGTTCCCACTTCAATCTGATTTAAACATATATTTATATAGCCTCTAGTGCAAGCATGGACAAACTTCAGCCCTCCAGGTGTTGGAACTTCAACTCCCAGAAATCTCAGCTAACTTACCAGCTGTTAGAAATTATGGGAGTTGAAGTCCAAAACAACTGGAGGGCCACAGTTTGAATCTGGGGAGTGGAGTGAGCTCCTGTCTGTCAGCTCCAGTTTTCCATGTTGGGACATGAGAGAAACCTCCCACAGGATGGTAACACATTTGGGAGTGCCCTGGGCAAAATCCTTGCAGATGGCCAATTCTCTCACACCAGAAGCGACTTGCAGTTTCTCAAGTCACTCCTGACATGAAAAAAACTCGAACTAAAAAATAGTCCACACAAATACAATTTTACTTTGGTTCCTACAAAATAAAGCTTTCCTTCAGCTCTAGCATTGCAGAAAGTAAGACACTGAAAATAATTCACAACCAGAACTCTCATGTTCTCTGTTTGCATTCCCTTGATAGCTTGCTTCTTCTTCTTTTTTTTTGTATGCCCCAAAGCTGAAATTTTTAGTTATTTTAGTGCCAGAACCTTGAATACTGAAAGGAAATTTCACAGGGAATGGCATAATTCTTATTTGATGGGGGCAATGCCCTCATTTTGCCTCTGTCTGGGTGTCATTATTCCTGGCTAGGAAAGTGAATGTTCCTGTAATCAAATGTCAATTAGTTATTTCATAGTTCGCACGAGATATTTGATCTCCTTTCTTCTCAGGTTAAAAGCTACATCACAGCATTGACCGAACTTCTAACATTTGTGAAAGTGAATTCCACATTCAGCTTAAAATATTCAAAAAGCAATTAATTCTCTTTCCTATTTATGGCAAATGGCAAAAATAATGATGGTACAGAAAAACTACATGCAGCTCCTGTCACATTTTTGAAAATGAAATGCTGTTCTCCAGAAGCTCTCTTATACACAGACGGGACATAAAAGAAGAGCAATCTCTGAACACTATACTAAACGGAAAACAACAATAAACAGAATATTTCGGTGGTTTAAAGGTGGTAGATTTTGACAGTTCAAGGTGAAGCACTATTGTGAGGAAGTGGGTGTGCAAGAACTGCAAAACACAGCTTCCAAAACAAGTTTTGGCCCTGCACACTCTAAAAATAAAACACATGAGCTTCAAAAGAACCCAAGTTGCTGCTTATAGTGCTCTATGAGCCCATAGAGGTAATCTATATCCATCACAATCAATCCCAGACTATATCATATTCTATGCCCCTCTAGTCAAAAATCAAAAAGTGAGGTGTAGAAAGAGACAAAGGTATCTCCCATTCCCTTTCTTTCCATTCATGTGTAATACTAAACTATGATTTAGAGCAGGCATGGGCAAACTTCGGCCCTCCAGATGTTTTGGATTTCAACTACCAGATGTTAGGAATTGTAGGAGTTGAAGTCCAAAACACTTGGAGGGCCAAAGTTTTCCCATGACTGATTTAGACTGATGTGTACAAGCTTCATGTTGCTCACCCCTCCACTCTCTTGCAAGGAGAGCTGGAAGTTTTATCTCCCATTTTTAATAACCATGTTAAGTCCATCACTAGAACCATCTTCATGCCTTAGGCCCATATTCATTCACTGTGCTTCTGTTGTTTATTCATTTGGTCACTTCTGAGTCTTCATGACCACATGGGTCAGCTCTTGCCAGAGTTCCCTGTTGGCTGTGGCCGCCCCCAGCTCCTTCAAGGTCAAGCCAGTCACTTCAAAGATACCATCCATCCATCTTGCCCTTGGTCGGCTCCTCTTCCATCCAATTTTTCCATCCATTTTCCCCAGCATCATTTTCTTCTCCAAGCTTTCCTGTCTTCTCATTATGTGGCCAAAGTACTTCATCTTTGCCTATAATATCCTTCCCTCCAGTGAGCAATTGGGCATTATTTTCTGGAGTATAGACTGGTTTGACCTTCTTCTTGTCCATTCACTGTGCATAAAGATTTTTTTCAGAGTGGTAATGGCAGTAGGAGGGCACTGTTAATAGTGTGCCGATGAGCCTTGGACTCTAACTAGGCACATTGACGCTCCCTAGCCAGTGCCATCATACAAAACAGGATTGATGTATTTCAGTCGCTTTGCTGGCTCCCCTACATGGTACCATAATAGCATTTGTCTGCTGCAGTGGTTCCCAGGGTTTTGGACTTCTGCTCCCACAGTTCCTAACATCTGGTAAGATGGATAGGATTATTGGGATTCAGAGTCCAAAATAACTGGAGGAGCAAAGGTTTGGAACCACTAATCTACTGCATTCAGACATGATGGGACTGCCCGGTTCTTATTCCCGCATATGTAAGTTCACTTACATATGAGGCATAACTCCCATATAGGATTCTGACCATCATCATTATCTCAAGGAAAGGCTTGCTGAATATGTTCAAGCTGTTTTGCTCTTGGAGACATATTCATGTTATTGGAGTAAACACTACGTACTTTCATTTAAGTGCCTGATGCATGATTTGTAAAATGAGGCCAATTAATTATTTTTTTTCTAAACAGAGAGAACGTAGTCTTGAACTTGGGAATGGATGGTACTTAATATCTGTCATACTAAATTATTTCAGTAAGACAACTGCAGAGGAGTTCTGGAGATGTGGGAAATTGTACATATAAGTGTTCTTTCTCTCTCTCTCTAGTCTTCCAGTTCTGGCAAAATCTGTCCACCAAAATCTATGTGAGCACTAGCCAAAATATAGAAATAAGCATCTCTTGTTTTAAATGTTTTGTCTCTATTTACAGATATTAAAATGTTTCTAGTGGATATGATTAGTTTGAGCACCTAGTGGCAAGACTGATTCTTGGGCAAAATTGGAAATGTCTCATCCATTTCACAGTACAGAGAAAATCTCTAGTCCTTATGGAAAAGCATACTTCATAGATACAATCTTTAAAAATGAAGATAGATATAATGGTAACTTTTATGCAATATGATACATATTTATTTCATATGCAAAAGAAACCCAGATGACTTTCACATCCAATCTCTCACACTGATCTCTGTGAAGCTATGATACATTAAATTACAAAGCATTGGAATCTAATACAAGGTGCTACCTGGGAGGACTTGTAAATACTTTATTACATATGATCTGATGTTATTGGATTGGCTTATGTTTCATTGTAGTAACTTGAAATTACATTTTTTTAAAGAAGGTTAAGGCTCACACAATGAAATGATAGAATATGATTCAGTATTGTTGGAATGGCAACTATCAGTTTCCATATACCACAAGTCTTTGTCAGCTCCTCCTCTGAAGCAGTCCATCTTTAACATGGGGACTAAGCTGCATCCCAAGGAATCTCATAGTACTTTTCATTTCCCTGAGAGTCAAGTTCAATATTAAAGGAAATTATATTTCCTCCAATTAACCCATTTGCCTTCTCAAAGACATTTGCTCAAAGTTACATGCTTCAGTTATTAGATTTGTAAATTAAGTTTACTTTTGTTTTTCAAAGACTTATCTCACATCAAAGTATGCTTAATGCAATATGCATGAGTGAGAAAAAACAATATGTGACCAGCAGATATCTTTTACCATTTGGTAGAGCACCTCTGCAAAACAGAAAACATACTCACCTAAGGTATGTTGCTAGGTTCAGCACTTTGGATAGCTGCTTTAAAGCTCAGACTAAAACCTAAGTCATAACCTTACTGCAATGCTAATATTGTTCTAATGTAGTGGTTCTCAAGCTTCCTAATGCCACAACCCCTTAATACAGTTCCCCCAGCCATAACATTATTTTTGTTGCTACTTCATAACTGTAATTTTGCTATTGTTATGAATCATAACGTAAATATCTGATATGCAGGATGTATTTTCATTCACTGAATCAAATTGGCACAAATACCTGATACACCCAAATTTGAATACTGGTGGAGTTGGGGTGGGGGTTGATTTGGATCTGGACCAAACTATGCCCAAATGTGAACACTGGTAGAGTTTGGAGAAAATAGACCTTGACATTGGGGAGCTGTAGTTGTGGGATTTATAGTTCACCTTCAATCAAAGAGCATTTGGAACCTCACCAACAACAGAATTGGGCCAAACTTCCCATACAGAACTCCTATGACCAACAGAAAATACTGTGTTTTCTGATGGTCTTTGC